CCCCCCCCCCCCAGTAAAAGTGAGTAAAAGTGCCTAGAATGGTAGAATAAAATATTAACAAAGTGATAGAAACTTTATGTTCTCATCAACACTCATCTGTCAAAAGGCCTCTAAAGCTAGCCACTCAATTGGTTAAGTCAGTATTTCCATCCTATCATTACTTTCTTAGGGATGGGGAGATGGAAAAGACATTTGAGGCAACTTTATTTCTTTTGAGTGTTTGATTTATTTCAGTCACCTGTTACAATGTGGCATGAAACATTTCAGACCTACTTCTCCATGTACCAGCCAGGTTTCAGAGCAGGATACAAATATATAATTGTTCTAGTGAAGAAAGACACAATGCTTCCCCTCTAATGGCAGACAGTCCCAAGTGCTTACAAAACTCTGGCATACTGAAAGCAGTATATACAATGGACCCAGCTGGTTGTTACAAAAAGGACTACCATTTATTAAACTTTTACTGCCTACTTCCTCTTATTATTTTAAAAATGAGAGATACAAAAGTAAAACAACTGAAGAACTATCATACTACCCAAATTCTATTAAAAAAATATCATACTTTAACCAAATTAACTGTCTCCTAAAGCAAAAAGATGAATACTCTGTATCATATTCGACTAAAGAAGTTCTATTTTATATTTATCACGAACTCAAGCTCACTGACCCCGAGGGACACAATATTGTTTTTAGTTGATCAATCTCTTGGCATACCTAAATATCAACAGCCTGCACTTCTGGCTCTTAACTACCACCACCACATATGTTGCCTTGGCTGTATCCCATCCAGCCTTCCTCAATGCCAGACCAAAACATGATAAAATATGACATAAATGACTAAAAAGTAAATGTGCTCATTTTGCCTTCTAAGTGAATCTCAATCAGTTGCAAGCTCTGGATTAACGAGTATGACACACGAAGTGTGTACTTCAAATGGAACAATTGTTTGCAGAAGGAAATAGATTAATTTTTTGATGCTCCAAATAGAAATGCTAAGAACTTATGTGTAATTCTAAGTTATTAAAAATGCAGACGTTAGCTTAATTTATGGAAGAATTAATATTCTAACAGTTTCAATGTCTAATGATATAAAAAGGACTAGTTACTGGTTACTGGAAGTGTTAATCTCTCTTGGAAATATTATTGAAACTCTATATTTTAATGCCAATGAACTCAGAAAGAACAAAAGAGAGAGGACTGAGACTCACCTCTTGCACAAACGAAACAAAAGCCTACATTTACAGCAGAGGACGAATTACTGCTCCGTTTGGAATGATTACTACAGATGAGAATGTAGGAGGACACAAATATGCTTCCAGCAGCGACGCAAGCATCTCCAGAGTGATAGGCTATCGGACATCTCAAACACCTCATCATGCGACCTGTTTAAGGACAAGTCAAAAATGAATCTAGGTAATAAGGCATCAACTGAATATATAAAATGAAATTTTTGGAGTTGGGTTCTTTTTAGTTCCCATGTGATGCTCATTATATTAAGATAAATATATTTTCTCCACTAGTTTGGCCCTGTCACTCCTATGCTATACGGCCCCTAAATGGAGCACCCATCTAGAGAGCAAAGAAAAATTTGTCTGCTACAATGCTGGAGAGATGGTGGCCTCCAATATGGCACCTGTTTAAAGAATCTTCAAGGGTAATTTTGAACATACAGAATTTTCTTCTCAGGGTCTGAATGAGAATCGGATCTACTTATTATGCTATCTACAGTGGCTGAGCTTATATGTCTAAAGAAAAACAGAGGGAGAATGCCTGATGTTCTTTATAATAATATGCTTATTATTTGCTACTGAACATAAAAGGAAAAACCTTGTCCCCTTCCTTAGCTCTGTTTTACCTTTACTTGCTTTGTAGATATCTTTCTCCATCGAGCAGGCAGAGCAGCAGTGCTGGGGACAGCGGAATCCTTTTGATTCAAAGATGGCAGTGGGGAATTTGCGGACACAGGCTTCATGATAAAACTTCCCACAAGCACCAACAGAGCAGCGCTTCACATCTGTACCAGACACCTTACATGAAAAACAGGGGTGCTGTCCTGGAAAGTTGGTGAGGAACACAGATTTAATAAAAGCTGATTAAAGCATATTCCTTTTAAATAGAAGCAGCTACTGACATGAAAATTGAAAATAAGTGGTTAAATTAAAATATCATTTAATAAATTTTGTTAGAATGATTGATTTGCTATGATAATTGATTTGGAGATATAGCATTAAAAATAATTTAGATCTTCACTTTTCACTCTACACTAAAATTATTTCCATAGAAAACCCAGAACAGAATTTTTCAACACCCGAGAAGTGAGTGTCAAAGTCTTTCCAACACAGAACAAATAAAAGAAACTACCAAAGAAAACACAGGTTCCATTAGATAATCACTTAAAATTTCCATATGTTAAACAGGGATAAGATGAAAACTCATAATCCCCTCCCTCCCAAAACACACGCAAAATTACAGCCAGAAATCTTATTCAAGCTGTACAAAATCAAGGACAAAGAGAAAATATCAAAATTATCCCCACAAAAGACAATTACCTTCAAAGGAGCAACAGTAACACTAAGAACTGACTGAAAGAAAAATGGAAAGCAGAAAATAATGGGATACTATCTTCAAAGGGCTGAAAGAAAATTGTTATCAAGCCAGAATTCTATACCCAGTGAAAACATTCTTCAAAAATGAAGTGAAATGAATATACACTGGGAAGGATTAAAAAAAAAGCTGGCTCTTTAAAAAAGATTAATAAAACTGATATTTCTGGCAAGAGTGACTAATTAAAAAAGCAAGAAAAAGCAACAATACATATTAACAATATCAGAAAAAGAAAATGATATGACACTACAAATCCTACAAAGTTAAAAATATAATAAATGAACACCACTACATTTTTGCCAATAAATTAAAAATTTTAGATGAATAAACAGATTCCTAGAAAAACAGAACTTACCAACACTGGCATAAATACAAATAGAAAATATGATTAGTTATAGAAACTATTAAAGAAACTGAAACTATAATTAAAAACCTTCCAACAAAAAAACAAATTTTAAGCCCAGATGGCCCACTGGTCAATCTGCCAAATATTTAAAGGAAGAAATAACGCCAATTAGAATAGAAAAAAAGAAGGGACAAGTAAAAGACAAACAGATGTGGAAAAATGTACGCAACAATGATAAAATATTGTTTTGTTATACAGAGTGAAAAAATATGTAACATATATAAGCTAAGAAAGCTAAACATACTTATAAAGAACTATCAATCAAAATAGAAACAAAACAGCCTAATAAAAGTGGGCAAAAGGAATGAACAAATTTACAGAAAACAGAAAGACAGCCAATAAACATGAAAAATGCTCATGTTAATCAGATAAATGCTAATTAAAACCACAAGTAACATTTAAAAAATTCACCAATAGAAAAAAACTTGAAAAGTCTGATACCACCAATTGTTGATCAGGGTGTAGGGAAAAGGTCTCTTACATACTGCTGGTAGGAGTTTCAGTTGGAAGAAACTACCTTAGAAGGAAACAAGGCAGTATCCATTTTTTCAAAAAAGTGCAATGATTTTCTGTGGCCTAGAAATTCTTCTTGCTCTCTACATTAGGATAAACTTGTATATGTAAAAGGATGCTGACTAAAGCACTGTTTGTTATTGCAAACAACTGAAAGCAACTCAAACGTCCTCCAATAGGGGGATAAACTATGATATATGCATACCATAGAACACTATGTGGCAATTAAACATATTTGTATTGACAAAAAAAAGAGCTCAAAGAGCCTGGCTGGTGTGGCTCAGTGGTTGACCATCGATCCATGAACCAGGAGGTCACAGTTCGATTCCCGGTCAGGGCACATGCCCGTGTTATTGGCTTGATCCCCAACTTGTAAAGGCAGCTGATCGACGATTCTCTCTCATTGATGTTTCTATTTCTCTCTCTCTCCCTCTCCCTTCCTCTCTCTGAAATCAATAAAAACATTTATTTTTTTTTAAAAAGAGCTCAAAGACAAATTTAGTAAAAAAAATCTGCAGAACAATGGTATAATACATGTTTTATTCCAACACACACAAAAATGTTACACACATATATATGCATGCACACACACAGAAAAAGGTTTACAGGGCTACACATGAAACTGATAATGGATACCTCTGGTGAGGGCTAGAATTAAGTAGGGTCCTACAATTAAGAGTGATGATCTAGGAGGACTCAGCTTGAGCTACAATGATAATATTTTCATAACATTATATTTATGTACTACTTGTGTAATTAGATATAAGTTTTAAATACTAACAAATAACTTTAACACTGCAATACATAAATAGTCAAGACGCATGAACAGAGTATTCACAAGAGTGAATAAAAATACCAAAAGAATGCCCGGGTGGCATGTGCTTACTGGCCATCTGTATATCTTCTTTGGAGAAATGTCTATTCAGGTTCTTTGCCTAATTTTGAATTGGGTTGTGTGTTTTTTGTTGAGTTGTAGGAGTTCTTTATGTGTTTTGGATATTAATTCCTTGTCAGGTATGTTTTTGTAAATGTTTCTTCCCATTCTGCAGGTTGCTTTTTCACTCAGTTGAGTGCCATTTGGTGTAAATAGTGCATGTTTTTTCAAAATGGAGATGTTATTTTATTGATTTTTATTTTTATTTTTTTTATTTTCAGAGAGAGAGAGAGAAAAACATTGATGTGAAAGGGAAAAACTGATAGGCCAGTGACCTCCTGGTGCACAGGAGGACCAGCTCAACCAACTGTATTCACAATTTTTAATTTTGATAAAGTCCAATTTGTTTATTTTGTTGTTGTTGCCTGTGCCTTTGATGTCGTATCAGGAAATCACTGCCTAATCCAATGTCACAAAGCTTTTCCTTTATATTTTCTTCTAAGAGTTTTATAGTTTTAGCTCTTATGTTTGCTTTCTGATATATTTTGAATTATTTTTTTATATATGGTTGTTAGTTAAGGGTCCAATTTCATTCTTCTGCATGTGGATATCCAGTTTCCCCAGCACCATTTACTGAAAAGTCTGTCCTTTCCTCACTGAATGGTCTTTGGACCTTGTAAAAAAATCATTCCTACATATATGAACGTTTATTTCTAGACTCCCAATTCTACTGCATTGGGTTATAGGTCTGTCTTTATGCCAGTACCATGCTGTTTTAATTACTGTAGGTTTTAGTAAATTTTAAAATAAGTGTGAATCCTCCAAATTTGTTCTATTTAATTGTTTTTAAAACAAATTTCCTTCTTAAATTTCTTAATAGATGTGTACCAATTTAGTTTATATCTAACCTTGTTGGCAGAATTCAGCTGGATTCTAGAGTTAGGAGAGAAGCCTCAAAAGAGAGTTTTAAAACTGAGCTACACAGTCCTTCCTATCAGTAGTTTGAATCAGAGATCGCAAACTTAAGTGTTTAAAGGGGCTGGACAGGTTACATAAATGACTGGAGTGACAGGGTTTTAGAAAAAGGGAATGAAAGAGAATGTGATGAACCAGGAGTACGTGCCTGATCCATGTTCACTCATTCAAAACACATTTTGAAGGCCAAAAAAAACCAACATGCAAAAAATCTGACCCTGAGGCTGCCAGTTGGCAAATTACTCAAAAGTTTTACTGCAGAGTCTACATGTGATGAAAATGATTATCTTATATAGGAAAAAATGTTATATATTCAAAACACCTTTTATAGCTTAATTTTTGCATGTGTATGTTTGTAAGAGAGAGAGAGAGAGTGAGAGAGAGAGAGAGAGAGCATGTGTGTGTTAAAATATATGATACATGGTCTCCATCCTACTTAATCAAGGTAGTACAAGGCAATGGTAAACAGCAAGGATTCTGGGGGTGAAGCTGCATCCTGGGTTTAAATGCCAGTTTCATCACAGGCTGTTTTTGTGACTTTGGGAAAGGTACTAAACTCTCCAATCCTCAGTTTGACTCTCTGTAAAGTGAAAATAACAGTATCTATCTCATTATGTTATGAAAGTAAAATGAGATAATAGGATAAAATGCTTAGTACTAACAGCACCTGGCCTATAGGAAGTGCTCAGAAAAAAATTACCATCCTAATGGAATTTAGCATATATAAACAATTTTAGGAGGCAAAGAATCAAATAAAAAAGGGTACAATAAATAACCTGTGAGAATCCAAATAAAAAGGGAAAAGGAGTAGGAAAAAGTGTCACAGGTAAGATGAGCATATTGTAAGTACTTGATATCCAGCTGGCTCATAGTTCCTCATAGCAAAAAACAAAACAAAAGCCCTGGCTGGTTTGGCTGAATGGTTAGAGCAAAGGCCTTCGGACTGAAGGGTCCTGGGTTCAAGTGCGGCCAAGGGCACGTGACTCGGCTGCAGTCTCGATCCCCCGCCCCAGTTGGGGCCTGTGCGGGAGGCAACCAATCAACGTGTCTCTATCACATGGATGTTTCTCTCCCTCTCTCTTCCTTCTACTCTCTCTGAAAAGCAACGGAAAAAATATCCTTGTGTGAGGAGTAAGAAAACAAAAACAAAAAAAACTAGAAAAGACCATGCAAACATAGTTCCTGGAAACACTACCATGCCATCTTCAGCTGACTTCACTTGCCTTGTTACAGATTAAACAACTCTACTTCCTTCTTTCCGTGACTTTAACTAGAATCATGGCTACACAGGGAAGAAATATAAACTTGCATATTTCTTTCTTTATAAATTATTTTGATAGGTAGTAGTCTGTATTTGAGGGGGAAGGGTGATAAAAAATAAATGGTGAATCCAAACCCCACGTTTTAAAAACAACTTCCAGTAGCTCCATCTTTCCACTAAAAGCACTATCATCACGGTTACAGTTTGCAATTGACATTTATTCCAGTCTATTAAATTCAAGGGATTTTAAACCAATTTAATGAGCATAAAAACTCAAACCCATTTGAAAAATAACTCTTTCTATATACTTTGTATAGCTCTTTAGATAAACTACAAATACATCTGGATGATTTGATAGATTTTATGATTAAGGCACTGGTAGGAGGAAATCTGAGAATAATATTGCCAACTACTCTTTTGATTTTAAGAAGCCTAAACACTGAATGGTCTAAATTTGTTGAAATACCTATGGGAGAGGAAGATAAGAGCTACATAACAGGGTAAGAAAATGAGATATCATGGGAGATGCTAGCATAGCACATTCCTCCCTATTCATCTTTTTGTATCTATCAGAGTAAGTAAGCTTACCGGATTTACATTCCATGCAGATGAACTTCCCATCGGGGAGTGATGTCAACCCCAGGCACTCCAGGTGAAAGTGTTTGTAGCACTCTCCCTCACAAGGAATCAGAGAGTCACCAGAGCTTTCACAGACCTGCAATATAGCAAAAAGCAGCGGGTCTCAAACTTCAGCCGGCATCAGAATCACCTGGAGGGTCTGTTAAGACACAGATCACAGGGCCCCTTTCCTACAGTTTCTGATTCAGTCGGTTTGGGGGTGGGGGGAAATAATTTGTATTCACAACAAGTATCCTCACAATGCTGATGCTGCTGGTTGGTCCTTGGCCCTCACTGTGAGAACCACTGAACTAGATAACTATTTCCAGGCCCAATATGGTATAATTTAAAAGGATCTTTTATGATTCCTTCTCTGGAATCTGGATACTTTTAACTTTTCTTCACAGGGCAAAGCAGTACTTTTCAAAAAGGGCAAATATACATGAAAAACTTAGTAACAACTTAATTTTAAGAAAATGTTTTTGAAATCAGTCATCTGCCATTTGCTTCCATTTCATAACATAGTCTCACAATAAAGACTGACATCTGCATGTGGACAGTAAATATCCCAACTCAGAAAAGGAAGAGCTCAAAATGGCTTTTAGATCTTGCTTTAAAGGAGTATCACAATTTAGAAAGATACCACCCTCACCAACAGGAGGTAAGTGTACTACTGGCAGAATATGACAGCAATTCTTTCAAGCTACAGGATAGGCCACTTGCCTACCTGACACACAGTGTCCTTCTTACTCATTCCAAAGCCTCTTCTTGATAAACTTGAGTCCACGGACTGCACATCAGAAATGTCTGCATCTGCAGTAGCCGAAGGGCTATCTACTTGCTTTCCAAAGCCTACCTACATGGAAAACATAGCACATTTTTAAGAAAAACAAAATAAAAATTTCCTCAAAGTCAGGTGCTATGAAAATCCTAGTAAGAGTTACTCAAATAAACCTTAATATGACCTTTCTTTTTAAAACACCTGGATACCATGTCTGGTGTTTTGAGAGAAACTCTCATTAAAATAAAATAACTAGCTATGCTTCTGTTATGTAAGAGATTAGCAAAATTAAGACACTCATTACAAAATAACCAAAATGACTTCTTTGCTGTATTTAAAAAATCCCCAATGCTTCCCAAATAAGTTGGATAAAGCAGTATGTATGTTACTTGGTTTTGCAAAGCAAAAAAGAGCACTGTGCTCAGACCCTTGAACATATTTACCTGCAGGTCACTCAGGCCTCTAGAATCAGAGTCAGATGTGTCTCTGTATGCTGAGCTAGTCATTTCTACATCAGTTGAGGCGCGACTCCTTTTCTTTAGAGGTTTACAGGAATCTGAAATCTCGCTGGCACCTTAATATAATACACCGAAATTAATCCTAAAATAGTGCTTAAAGTTTGCTCTTTTAATTTTTTTGTGGGAGAATATTTTCTTTCCCCAAACTCATTTGTAGTGTGAAAAAAGCACAGCTCTCTTTTTAACAGTGAAGTCACGAGTCAAAACTTCATAAGCATGTGACTTTCCTCGTAGTGATTTAATTTAACCGCTCTATTAAAACATCAAATTCAGTGCTCCTGCTCTAAAGCTATTTTCAGTCAACAGAGCCCAAGTTCCAACCTAAAAACCAATTCTATCAATACTGCAGGATAGCTGATTTGTTTGGAGCAATCCAAAGAACCATTCAATTTGGAGGGGGAAGACATAAAACCCAACACACTGTGTAGCTTACAAATATGGTCGCAGAGACATCTCCAAGTTGTTTTTATTAGGGATGTGACAAATCTTTGATTTGTATTCGATTCGTACACGGATAGTGCCATTTTCCCCCAAATTTTGCAATTTAGTTGAGTATTGCCCCCCCAAATAAATTTTGGATGTTCATAATTGTTCATCTGAGACTTCCTTGGTGAAGTGTCATTTATTGTGACCATTAACAAGTGCTGCAGCACATCTACATATGTCATGCCATTTAGGAGGCACATTGCTGAGGGTTGTAAACAGACAATCAATGTTCAAGTGCAGCCAAATCACGAAGAGCTGGATGAGAGGCCTCTATGTGGAATTTGTGCGGGAAGAAATAAATATGAAAAAAAAAAAAAGGCAGAGAATAGTGTGGAATTTTTTTTTTTTAAAACTGTGTGTAATACAAATCCAGCCAAAACAATAGTGCAAAAAGTTACAAAGCAACAATCTCTTGGGCTAATGCAGTATAGGCTATACAGAAACAGCCACGATGAAATGTGCAGATCAGGCACGGTGAGTACCAAGGAACCAAGGAGATGGTTCATATTCCAACCCACAGTTTGTGTTTTGAATTTTTTCCCCCAAATTTTCCATACAACAAACAGACATCTAGATCAGCCCAGCAAGCTATGGTGGAAGTGTGCAGTCCAGAAGAGACCATGGAGAAACAAGTCTCCTGAGGCCATGAAGATCCGCAACAGGCTGAGTGAGAGGAGCACTTGGTACATAGCCATGTTCTGTGGTGGAGGATGTGGGTCTCTTTAGACTGCTCAGATTACTGGAACCTCGTTATCACATCCCAGTCTACAAGTTTTCACTGAATGTTTCCTTACATCTATAAATGAGGGTGCCTGCCCATGTTAACGCTGATTAAAAAACACAAGTACACAAATCTATCTCCTTCATTGCTGGTGTATGGACCCAGACCACCACCACAAAATATTTCCTTGGCCTAAAAGATCACTGGATTAACAAGGAGTTTTAACAGAGGAACAGGAGTGCTGTACTGAGAGGCTTTCGAAGGGAAACACAGGTACCGCCATTTCCGATGAGTTTCTGAAAATGCTAGAAAAACGACAGACTGCCAAAGACAGCTGCCATGCTGTTCTCCATGATAACGGCACTAACATTAAAAAAAAAAAAAAAAAAAGAGCTTTTAATGATTGTAATGTACACAGTTTGGGCTGTTTGGCAAAACCCTGCAGATGTGCATTAATGATGCTTTATTTAAAAACAAAAGCAGTCCATGTTGAAATTGATCAGTGTAAGTTAAACGGTGGTTTTTAGGCTGGACCCATGATTTAAGCTGTACCTATCCAGCACAGACAAAAAAAAAAAAAAAAA